GCCCAATGTGTACTAAGAATTGGCCCTGAGATTTATTTATTGTAATGGCAAAAGCAAGACGAATCAGAAACTGCCTTTGTGTAAAAATAAATGGTAGACTTGTTGAAAAAGGTTTCAAAGTAATTCTAGGAATAAAAACCAAGTTTCCAGCATGATTTTCACTAAGAATACATGCTTTAATAACATGATCTGTGAGCCGAACTACAATTAAGCGAAAGCCATTACAAAGACCAAATAAAGGAGCAAGGTTTCGAAGAAGAATAATAGGATATCCAATTTTGAGAGTAAGTTTAGCAGGTGGTATTCCAGATGGATTAAGTGTATTCAAATACTCAATCGGATATATATTGCCATTGTCAGCACCTTCTTCTGTTATAGCTTTGTCAGCACTTAAATATGTGTGCATATCTTCTAGAAAAATATTAAGAACTTCATAGTTAATATCATGTACATCATCATTGCAAGCTAATAAAATCATGCGATCTCTTAGATATTTGTTATTCGGTGCACCTAATTGTATATTAGGATAAATTGCACTAATAAGAGATGATATATCAGGACCAACTTTCATATATTCTGGAAATGTAATTCTACTATCAAGTTCCAAGTTTAAACTATTTTCAACCTACATATAACAAATGATTATTTAGTTATAATAAAAAAATAAGATTAGTAGAAATTAAAAATTATAGTCTTATATTTAATAGCCAACCAGCAAAACGTTTATTTTCTTCTGATTTTGTTTCCAAATGCATATTTTTTCGTAGTGTAAGTATAGTTACATATTGCCAAAGAAGTGAACGTTGAAGAGAAGCAGCAACTATTTGTTCTTTTGAGCCTTTTACAACAACTGGAAGGATTTGGCAGAAATCACCACCAAATACAACAGTAATTCCGCCAAAGTGATGATTATCATCACGGATATCACGTAAAGAGCGATCAACTACATCAAAACAATACTGATGTTGCATAGATGCTTCGTTCCAAACAATAAGTGCAGTTTGGCGAAGAAGGTTTGCAAGTTCAGAGTTCTTATCAAATGAACAATTAGAAAGTTCATTAATATCAATTGGAATTTTAAAGAGTGAGTATGCTATTCATCCACCAATAAGTAAAAGAGCTGCAATGCTAGAAAAGGCTACACAAAGTGCAATTTTGCCTTTGCTGTGAATTGTTATTGCAAGTATATTATATACAAAAGTTTTGCCGGTTCCAGCAGGTCCATTCAAAAAAATAAATTTCCTGATCATTTGTTACTGAATTAAGAATATTTTGATATGCAGCATGTTGTTCATTGTTTAATAGTGGTATGCAATTGTTGACTAAATTTCAAAGCTCATTATAGTCCTACATTAACTGTTCCAAAATAAGTCGATTTCCATTGCTAAGATCCTAGTTGTGTTCCCAAATTGGCATAGGAGGATATTCAGAAAGTGATTTATTTGAGGCAAGGAGAATTTTATCGATAAGAAAGAGCCCATAATCATAGATTTGATTTTCAGTAGGTGTTTCAATAGAGTATTTTGAATATAAGTGATAACTTAAATCATCACAAATATTGTCACGATATTTTAACTATAATCTTTCTGAATATGTAGAAGTATATCGAGTAAGAATAATTGCAAAAAGTGTTCTTAGTTGTGAGCTACTTCGTATAGTAGAAGCTTCATTCAAACATTGATCCCATTCTCCATCATCTTCTAATAAGCCAAGAGCTATACATGCAGCTTTAAACGTAGAATATAAAATATTGTTAACTGTTTTTAAGTAATCGAATGATTGTGGACCACGTATATTAATTAGTAAAAACCGAAGATAATATCATTCTCTAGCAGAAGGATCTGCAAAATATAAACGTCCGATTGCAAACTCTTGTTTTCTAATTGTCTACTTTTTAGTTTTTTTATTCTACACAAAATGTTGTGGAAACTCTAAATATGTAAATTGGTGAGCACACTCCAATTTGGCACATGTTTTAAAAAATTCAGTAAGAGATGTTTTTTTACGATCTTCTTGAGAAAGAAAATTCAAAGCATCATCATTTGGATCAAAGACTACTTGGTACATTCCTGAAAGGTGCAATGCTAATCTTACAATATTTGGTACTTTTTCATATAAATGCATTCCAAATAGTCTTCAAGCTGCTTCTAGTGCACCAATATATTTAGCATCGATATATTGCTTAATTTCATTAGATTCACGTTCAAATCACATTGTAGTTCTATCATGACCTTTATAAATATATATATGTGGATAATATCAAAATAAATAAGTAAATAAAAATATAATATTTAAATATATTAGTATAGTTAGTTGGTATATATACCTTAACAGAAGCACAAACTTCAATATTTATATGACAGTTATATTTTCTACTAAGAGTAGGGTTATATAGCACTACATCTCTATTATCAACAGTTTTGCCACCAATATTAAAGCAACTATTATCTCTTCTGATATAATGAGGATATCCATCAACATCTATTGTTGTTGTACTATAAAAGTCTTTTGGATATTTTTTTTGGTATATACCATTTTCCATACATGGTGCATTAGGATTATGGGCTCCACATAGACCGTGAACCATACAGCGCATAATTGTGCCAAAAAGAATAGGATCAGAGTCTGGATTAGGAAACTCTGCACTTACAATATGTCAACATTGCTAGGCTCTTTTATTTTATCATCTCTATAAAGAAAAATCAAAAAGTGCATATGAGGTAGACCATGCTTCTGAAATTCAATCGTATAAACATAAGCTACTACTTTTCCAAAAATATTGTTGGTTTTAATATTATTAAGAAAAGTATGATGTTTAAGTTTAAATACATGTGCTACTAAGTCAGGCCTATCTACAGAACTTTGACCAGGTAGTAATTCATCAATAATTTCTGGCCAATTATAATTTGCTGTCATAGTTCCAAAAATATCAGGATGGTGATAGAATCAAGTTGTAGCTAATGAATCTTGAAAAATCTCAAACATATGCCATACACTTCCAATATGTGATGAAGGAAGAATTATACGACGTCTGAGATTATTTAGATTTAATTCATCACTTGCAACATTCCCAACTGCATCAGCTAGACCCTGATATGCATCTGCCCGTAATGAATCTTGGTTTAATCGTAAAAATCTTAGACGATTTTGTTCTGTTGCTGCCCAGGCATCAACCATAAATTCTTGTAACAATTTTCCACTATGAAGAATAGTTGAGAACTCATTATGGCGAGAAAAAAGCCAAAAAGAGTAAAAATCTATTTGTGTAAGGTATGGTGCTTTGCTTTGATCTTCAGCAGGAAGTCTATTATTATCAAGCAAAGTTTGACGCATTTTTGCATGCCAACCAAGATTTCCATAAGGGAAAAAAAGTATATAATAAAGAGGTAAATATGCAGGATGGCCTTCATAAATACATTGAAGTAAACCTTCACGTAAATGGAGTACAATATCATGCATTGCCTCAGAAATTGAACTATTACCAGATAAAATAACAGCTATTTCACCAGAAGTTAGAAGATTATAGCGATATCTGTCTGTTGCATTGTCAAAATGAAGATAAACAGCTAAATCACTTTTAGTAAGATCTTCTCTGCGAGTTTGAAAAAGAATTTCATAAGCCTGACAATAAATAGGGTAAAATGTGTGATTTTCTCTAAGAATTCCTTGTAGTTCCTAAATTGTTTGTTGATTTAAATTATTATTTCGACTAATTCTTAATTGTTGAGCAATATCTGGATCATAAATATAAAGTTGTGCATAAGCAGCTTCCATGAAAGATTCTGGAATAAGAGAACCTGAACAATAGTACAATTCATCATGAATTCAAAAGACATGGAAAATGTCCATTTGTCAATATCTACTCCAAGTGAAGTAAATATATATGTTGAATTATATTGGCGAATATTTGCACAAAATTTTTTACATTGCTCATCTTGGCTCTCAAAAAATTGTTGCAATAGAAGTGGTAGATTTTGGAGAAGTGAAAAAATAACTTGTCTATGATTACAAACATTTTCCAAATTTCAGATTAGTTTTTGAAGATTTTACTAATTATTCTTCTAACTAATGAAGTGCTCCACAGTGAGTACAAACAGTATTTATATGTTCAAAATTATGTCTTATATTATTTTGTTGAAGTTGTGTTAATAGTTCATCAAAAGATATAGTACGTGCTCTTTTTGCTTGCTCATTTTCACTTTAAGCTTGTTTGTTAGCTTCTCTTTCACATTGTCTTCTTTTTTGTTGTGAAATTGATTTTTTATTTACTATATTTTCAGTTCTTTCATAGTCTTTTCTAACTTGTTAAAAAAAACTTCTTCGATTTACTGTATCAATTTCTTTTTCATATTTTCTTCTTTCTTGTTGAGAGATAGCTCTTTGGTTTACTGAATTCTCTGCTCTTTCACGATTTCTTCTATTTTGTTGTGCAATAAATCTTATTTTGAAGTATTTGCATTTCTAACTTATTAGTATTACTTTGTTGGTATGTGTTAGCTCTTCTATTAAATTCATTTTCTTGCACTTGTATTTCTTGCTCATAATTTCTGCTTTCTTGTTGAGCAACTGCTCTTCTGCTAGGTTCATTTTTACACTGTTTATGTTCACGTACATGTCTTAATTGTTGTGCTAAAGATCTTTGATTCATGCTGTAATTAATTGAAAGTGCTATGTTTATATTAAAAAAGATAGTGAATTAATATTTTTTAAACAAAAAAAAAGAAAAAAAGTATATATAAAAAGATAGTAAATGTGCTAGAATATGTTTTATTAAGCAAAAATTTTTATCAATTTTGACAGCTGCTCTACCTTGTAACATGCATCAATGTAACCTGTATTTGGCATAAAGAAAGTATTTTTCTGCATTGTAAATACAAAGTAAAATTTCCAATTATAGAATATAATTAGAAATTTACTTTGAATTCGTGATGCAGAAGGATACTCTCCTCATGCAAATCCGGATTATGCGTAATACACCTCAAGAAGTAGGTCAGCTGTTAAAAATTGATAAAAATATCTGCTTTATGGTTATATACTATTTTTGGTTTATAGTAGTGTTACAATAATCCCAGTAAAAGATGAATGCACCTTTTTTCAGACCATGGATCCAGGTCATAGGCAGACATTCGCATGATTGGCTGTTTAAATCAATTTAAATTTATATTATTTATACAATTTAAAGTACTTTTTTAAAAAAAGAAAAAAACTGTACAAAGAATAAACAAAAAAGAAGTATATAGCCTATATACTTCTTTTTTGTTTATTCTTCGTAGTTTTCTTTTTTTTTAAAAAAGTACTTTAAACTATATAAATAATGTAAAATTAAATTGATTTAAACAGCCAATTATACGAATGTCTGCCTATGAGGACCCAGGTCTAAAACAACACATAGTAAATACCGGGTATTCAATAAGTGTCATTTTTGATTTATGTTACATATTTTAAAATTTTATTATCGTTACTCAATTTGATGTATCAAATCGATATTTCAATAGGCAGCGGCGCAGTAAATAGCTGATTTTTATCGTATGTTAAACATCACTTTCAAATTTACATCATTTAATTGACATAGGTGAGTTTAAATATTATAATGATTAAATATTAGATAACATCAAATCTAAAGTATGTTTAAAAACTTAAGCACCCACTTATTTTTGAAATAAACTATTTAAAAACCCAAATTTATTTATTTTATTAAAATATTTAAAATTTTACATTTAGGTACTTCTGCTATTTAAAAAATCTCTACTCATTTTCGAAATGCACTGCTTATTGGTAAATTTTGAAACCCATTAGAATCAATATTTAAATACCAATGCATACTAAGCCTCATTTGTAAAGCGATCGCCTGTATCCTGAGCAGTTGGATATAAGCAGAATTTTACTAGAAAAGTATAACTGATGTGTTGACTGCTTACGCAATCAACACATCAGTTATACTTTTCTAGTAAGATTCCGGTTATATCAAACTACTCTACTAATTCCATTCATTCATTTCAATTTCAATTCTAGAACAATTCAAAAAATCTAGACGAAAGGAAGACTTTAGCGTAGCTAAGTTTGGTCGTAAATGAAATTGGGGGAACGACTTGATGACTCTATATTACATATAGCTAGCTAGATCTTTGGTGCGGTGTATCTCTCATTTGGGTGTTGTGAATCTGCTAACCCGTACAAATTCAGGTCTAAAAATTTGAAAAGCTTTAAAGTGGATATAAATTCTAAATATTGTTCTAATATTCTAATACAAATTATATATATCGTTGCACTCTATTGATTCTATTATTAATGTGACTAGAAAATCAGAATTATTACAATTATAAATATACCTGATATAAAACTGCGTTAAGGTTAATTCTTACATCGAAGTTAATTGTATTTGAGGGCTTTTGTCCAGGTTTCAAATTGGTTGAATTGTAGTCTTAGTGAGGCATCACCAATTTTATCTTTATGAAATAAATTTGTTATCAGCATAAAACTCTGACAAAACTATAAATATTAAAGATGTTATAATCATAATTTACCGATATAGTAATCTGAAATTATTTTCTTGACGCTTAGCATAATTGGTTGTTTAATGTTCGATAGTCGATTGAAGAGAATGTATATAAATTCTAAATATTGTTCTATTATCCTAATACAAATTACATATATCATTGCACTCTATTGATCCTATTGTTAATGTGACTAGAAAATCAGGATTATTACAATTATAAATATACCTAATATAAAGCTGCGTTAAGGTTAATCCTTACATCGAAGTTAATTGTATTTGAGCGCTTTTGTCCAGGTTTCAAATTGGTTGAATTGTAGTCTTATTGATGCGTCACCAATTTTATCATTATTAATCCTATATAAAATAAATTTGTCATTAGCATAAAACTCTGACAAAACAATAAATATTAAAGACGTTATAATTATAATTCACCAATATGGTAATCTGAAATTATTTTCTTGACACTTAGCATAATTGGTTGTTTAATGTTCGATAGTTGATTGAAGAGAAAGTGGTAAAGGTAACGGTTGAATCATGAATTCAGGAGAATATATCTCTTCCATAGGCGATGTTGATCCCAAATCTGGAATTATTTCAGAGGTTAACTCAAATATAAACTGTACCTAATTAAAAAAAAAAAAAAAAAAAAGAAACATTAAAACTTCTATATATAGTTTGTAACGAATATTTGAACTACTTGCTTATACATATCAAACCGCGTTGTGTTTTTTTAGTGTTTGTCTTTTGTACTGAGATAATCATTCACCAGTGCAGCTATTAAGCATATTGAGATAAAAATGGAGGACGAAATCTCAGTACATGCGCGTAACTAACCTATGGTAAGTACCCTAATAGAACAGGAAAGAAGAAAAGACGATCAACACTCAAATATATAAATGTGTATATAAGTAGGAAAAAAAAGAAGAGAGTTTAAAAATTCTATATATAGCTTGGAACTACTTGGTTATATATAGCAAGGCACATTTTTTTTTTTTTAGTGGTTGTAATTTGTAAAGAGATAATCGTTCACCTTTCCAGCTATTAAAAAATTCGGTAGGGTTAGGCCGTCGTAAACACAAAAATTAAGTATATGCACGTAACTAACCTATGATAGAATGCGAAAGATCTTTTTTTTATAAACAGCCAATCAAATTATATTTTTGTCTTATAGTGTTTGTCTTATAACGTTTGTCTCATAGTGTTTGTCTCCTTGTATAACACACCCTTGCATTATATAATAGATATATATATATATTTTTTAACTTTTTAACAGTCTTGTCAAAGCTCGAATACAACTTTATTTATTTAATTAATAATAGTAAACTATTTCAACTAAACTAAGTTTTCAAATTGCTAGCTTGATATTTACTGGCTGCATAAAACATGCTCATTAGCAACTCATCGCATCATCTTGTATACAAGATGAATAGATCTTGTCAGCCTGTTGAGAGCTAATCTCTTCAATTCTTTTTTTTTTTACTGAGAGCAAAAAAAGTAGTGATTTTATACCGAACTACAAAACCACCAATTACTGAAACAAAAAAGAACTATATCTAATACTGTAAAAACAAAATAAACGAAAAGGAAATTTTAAAGAAAAAAAAAGAAGAAAAAGAATATGTAAAAAAAGAAAAACAAAGAGAAAAGCCCAAAGGGCCAACAAGGTAAGGTGCTATCTCTATTAAGAAGTAGCCAAGCAACTCAAAAGTTGCTACAAACAAAGAAAATATACTATTATAATATGCCAAGTTAAAGTAAAAATTATATAACAACTCAACTGTTGTATATCTCAATTATATAGCCAAGCTTTAATATATATCTTCCAACTACTGACCAAATCTAGATATTTTTTTAATCTAAGACCTGATCCAAGTCATGTAGAGAACCACCCACTATCCGATCCAAGTTACATGGAGTAACGTTGTATCCTTTGATAAACAAGACACATCAGTTGTAATATACTGAGTCTATTCAGATTTGGATATAAACAATGCCAATCTTTTGAAGGAAGTAAGCCAAATTTCCACTTTTTGTTAAAATTTTTGGAAGAATAGCAAGAGGTCAAAAATAAATAATAGAGAAGTCACTTGAGATGAAAAAAGAGTGCAGCTTCAGAGCAACAGATAATTTGTTGTTTCCCTAGTATTTTCTTTGAAGTAACAACCTAAAAGCTTTGTTGACAATATCAGTTCATTTCTGAACAACCCGCACTAAGATTTTTTATACAAGGGCACCCCTTGCTAGTTATCTTATATAATAACACTCTTGGCTTGTATGCTAAATGTCTCTTGTAGAAGAGTCCCCATAGCAGTAGATTGATCTCTAGACAAACTACCAGAGACCACAACTCTCCAACAAATTTTTTCATTTTTCATTAGTGGGAATTTTGGTCCAAGTGATCATTGGAAAGAGTTTATTATATTACTGATTATTTATTATATTATGTGTATATTATATATATTATTATTATTTATTTTTAGAAAATTGTTAAATATTGCAGGTTGCTATATCACAGATTAATATAATTGACCAATTAGATCACAGGATCTTGTGTAATAAAAACTAACAAAAAATTAGAAAAATTACAAATAATATTAAAAACTTCAAATATCTCGAAATTTTATTATATAAACTAGTCTTGGGCTTCTAATTAAAAGTTTTTAGCACTTAATTTTGCATATATATATGTTTTTTAACCTTAATCTCAATACTATTTCGCACCCTAACCTTAACTAATAATATTATTAATTTTTTTTAAATATTAATCTGCGATATTACAATTTGCTAAATTTAACAAAATCCTATTTTTATTAAAACAAAAACAAATTTAAAATTAATTTAACTATTAGACATTCAACTCTTTCTAATAATCATCTGGACCAAAATTCTGATAAGGAAAAAACAAATATTTTGTTGAAGAGTCGTAGCCTATTGTAGTGATTTGTTAAGAGATCAACTGCTTTTTTAAAGGATTCCTCTAGGAACATTCTGCATGCAAGCCAGAAGCATTGTTATACAAAATAACTAGTAGACAGTGCCCTATAAAATCTTAGTAAAGAAACGAATACTATGAGTCACTAGTTCTCTCTGTTAACAAAGCTTTTAGGCTGTTACTTCAAAGAAGAACACAGAAGAAACAACCAAATACTTAT